CCCTGAGTCTTCTCTGTATTTGATTACCGTAAACTTCAAATATTTTTATTGGTGGACATCACAATACTAGACGATTGGCTTTAGGTATAATGGATTCCTTATTATCTAGCATCGAATACAATTTCCTATTGATAGTCTAGATAAATCATCCTAGACAATAGAATATCCTTCTCTTTTCTCTTCTATTTCAGTGGTATGAAGAATGAATATTGAAAAGGTGGCAGTGTGACCTGAATGTTCACACTGCTACCTTTTCAATTCAGTTTGAAAAAGACCATTGTTACATTTGTCCAGTGGAAGAATTTCTTTGGAGGTTTTAAGACCTCTGAAACTGGAAGCAAAACTTTTGCCGCTGTGTGCCATAGAGAGAAACACCTCTTTCCTTCCTACCCGTGTTCCTTGATGCATATATTGTGATAGTGGGAGAAGCAGCACCATATTTAACTCTCTGCTTCAAAGCATATGCCAAATTTTCTGGATGACACTGTAACCTTGTGCTATCTCTTAGCTGGCTACAGTACGTGATTCTTCAGTGAGCTTTTCCACATATTTTAGATCAACTTTTTCTTGAGGATAAGATACAAGGAATGACTAGTAAATATCAAGAATGTCAGCATACTTTCTATTTTTGATTTTAAAGTGAATTCTTTGGTAAACAGTAATTCTTTGTAGGATTCAGAAACAACAAATATGATGTTTAATAAGTCCTTGAATGGTTTTGTAAGCAGAAGACTGGCAAGGATATCATATCCAGAATAAATGTCCATTCCAGTGAAAAGAATTGTTCTCCTCTATATTTTGGAAGGCATCCAATATAATTGGACTGATGCCAGTAACTAGTGCCATATTGGACACCGAGCTCTGGATTCTGCTACTGGCAGGTTGGATACTGAGTGGTGATGTGGTCGCTATTATTTTACCTGGATCTACTAATACACTGGGCCCACCTTTATGTGGACCAACAGAATGGATTACCTTGGGCCATGCCTCTTGATAACTATAAAACTTGTGATAGGACAATGGTACATCTTCTCACAGTGCTATGGAAAGTCCAAAATTTTCTATAACCGTGCTTGCCAGTAGAAAAAGAAAAAGTAGTTGAAGTAAAGCCTTCTATGGTCTAAGTCTCACAAAAGTACATCAGATTGGTGAAATATAAATTATACTCAGAACCTTTTCTGCAAGGGGAGCTGTGAAATGTTTTTAGCTCCCTTGGCTCTGAAGTCAAGGAAGGTGCATTACAAGGTAGTAGCAATAGATGCTGAATTGTGCCACCTAAGCCAACCCTGGTAGTCTAGTTATTAAAATTCTATGCTGTCATCACTACAGCCCAGGTTCGTTTCCTGGTGAAGGAACCATATCACCCATTTGTCTGTTGATTGTCATACTGTGGTGGCTATGTGGTACTGTGATACTGAAAGCCAAGCCACCGGTATTCCAAATACTGGGTCACCATGTATATCAGGATTCCCCAAGGTGGACAGGTTTTATTAGAGCTTCCAGACTCAGACAGACTAAGGAGAAGGGCCTGGCCAACCACTTCTGAAACCAAGAAAACCCTATGAATAGTAGTGGAGTATTCTCCAATATAGTGCTGGAAAGTAAAATGATGGCACAAAAAGATAGCAAAATGTTCTGCTCTGCCATACACAGGGTTGCTGAGAGTTGGAATCAACTCAAGGGCACCAACAATAAAAAAATGCCAACTTATGATAGTTTGTGCACTCTGCTTCAGTGACCTGGGGTTTGCCGGTTGCATCCTGGGTATGGACCTACATACTGCTTATCAAGCTGTGCTGTGGTAGGCCTCGCACATATGAAAGAGAGAAAGATGGGCACAGATGTTAACTCAGGGCCAATCTTCCTCAGCCAAAAGGAGGATTAGCGGCGGTTATTAACTCAGGGCTAATCTTCCTCAAACAATAAATAAATAAATAAATAAATAAATAAATAATTATCTTCTATTCATCCTTCTCAGGAAAGTATTGAAGGATAAGGATTACCAAATGAGAAGTAAACAAAGAAACAAATATTTACAGAATCATGAAGTAAGTGAATTAACATAGGAAAAATGATAAAAGAATCTCCATGATGATGTTGAAAGGAGACTCCAGCTAGCATAGAGATGAAATAGCCAGGTTGAAGCAGGAAGACAAAGACTCAAGAAAGAATGTCTCAAAGAAAGTTTTTTAATATGCCTCAGATAAATGACTAAAGGGAAAATTAAAAGTAGCATAAGAAAGCAAATATATCCAAAATACAAAGTGTGGCTTATCTGTGAATAGTGTTCACCTTGTTTTAATAATAAATACTTTGGACTGATTAGACTAAAACCTCTGATACAATTATTATAGGTACATAGAGGAAGGGAAGTGATTTTTTGGAGTTGATATTATGGGGCTAACTCTTCGTCTTAGGTAATCTAAAACAGAAAAGTCAAATAATGGCAATATAGAAAATATGGGAAAACATGGAAAGAAACATTTAAAAAACGGCTAAAAAAACTACTGGCTTTGGAGAGCAAGAAACATGGGGGAAAGAGATGGACTGAGGACTGCTGGTTAGGAAGAGGAAATGTTCTGGCTGGAAAGATGAACTCAGACTTTGACCCATAGCAGGAAGACTGTATAATTTGGGGACTCAGTGCAAAATGAATACGCTCTTGTGAAAGTGGGTCCCTGTGTGACTGTAAAGGTCATTTGCCCATGAACCAGCCCTGACCTGCAATTTGAATTCTCTCTGATGTTTCCATTTGTATTTGTTACCAAGCCGATTGTATTTTTATGTCTGGAATTTAGGAGAAGTGTTGCAAAGAGGGTTATATATTTTAGGGACATCAGCAAATAGGCAGAGATTAAAGCTATGTTAGTGAATAAAATCTCCTTGGAAAGAATTTGATTGAGTAAGAAGGGAAAAGACTCTAAAGAAGAATCCTGAGGACCATGTTATTCATTCCACAGTGCCTGTCTCTAGAAAAATCAGTGTTTGTAAAATATTCTTCCTCTAGCCTTGTAGTCCTGTTATTGGCTCTGCCATCCAGAACCTTCAACTCAAACTTCCCTTTGGCTTTGAACTTAGTCATGTTTTCAGATAGCCTGTTAACTGCCTGGTATTTTCATAAAGATCTTAGAAAATGACTACCATTTTATCATGGAAAACTTATGAATATGTATGACTCAAAGTACATTCCACTGCTTTAGAGATATACATAATAAAATAAATTTGTTAACAACTTTTTATTTTACAACGCGATTTCTTTAAATTGAGACAAATTTATGAGAAAATTATAAATTCCTAAGTAAGGGAAAAAAACCCCTATATATTACCTTTCAAGCTTCCTTTTTTCTAAAATATGGAGATTTTCATTTTATATTAGAGTAACTTTTAAAGTAACCTTCAATTGTGTCTCACTATCATGTCTTTAAAATAAATTCAGTTTTATACTTTAATTTGCTGACTCCCACTTAGGCAAGTGAAAAAACATATAATCAAAAAGACAACATTTCTAAAAGAGAATATTAGTGATGAAGTTTCTGCTACTTTATTTTCTTGCTCTAGATTAGGATGTTTGAACCTTGGCACTGTTGGCATTTAGGCCTGGGTAATTCTTTGTGTGTGAGATGCATTGCAGGGAATTTAGCAGCATTCCTGACCCCCACCCATTTGTTGCCAGGAACACTCCCACCCTCAAGTTGTGACAACTAAATATGTCTCCAGACATTTGTCCCCCAGAGGAGAAAAATAATTCCTGGCTGAGAAGCACTGTTCTACATTTAAGAGGAATTTCAGGTCACTCAGGATCGAAATTTAATTGTTAGACTCAAAATCACTATAACATGATTTAGAATACATTTTGGATATTTAATTACGTTAATGCTTATTACTATTCTGTGGATTATCATATTATGATTCTTTTCGATGAAGCACTATTGCTCTTCTATATTAGATATAATTTTCATAATAGTTCTTGCCAGGCTGCGAGGATAATCCAAATGAATAAAAGAAATTAAATAGTGGCACTGAGCAAAAGGTATGATGCAGATAGACTTTTTCCCAGAAGCTTGCTGGTGAAACATTAATTTAACTTGATTCTCCCTCCTGCAAGCCTTCATGAATCTTTTGAATTTGTCAAATGACTTCGGGTTGCAGAGAGGAGACAGGAATGAAAAGAGCATCTCTTCTTAGCAATTTTGGGAATGAGGGTTCTAGTATTTCCCAGACTGAGACATGCAGGAAGCTGTTTAGTGAGTATTATCTGGAGTATTATTTGAATTTAAGTCAACTGTTTGCTTTCTCTGTTTGCCTAGTGTTACATTTCCAAGTCAAATGATATCCCTTGGTCAGATGGCCATCAAATAAGAAGTGTCCTTTTTGGGAACAGTTTTAGGCTAAAATGTTTGCCTCGGTATGTAGAAGTCAGATGCTTCTATTTAACTCTAAGTTCAAACTAACCAGAAGCAACGTGGCAAGAACAAAGACTCTCATAACAAATTTCAAATCAGTTTACCTCTCATGTTTTTTGTTTTTCAACCATGAAAATTCCCTCTAAAATCCAAAGTAAAGGAGAAAAATCTAAAAGGTAAAATGATACGACTAGCAAGGCTGAGGCTTCTGTCGCTACCCGTTTAGTATGTGATAGTTTCTCATCTGACTTAGACCAGTCACTTCTGCAAAAAAGCAAGGAGAAAAATAAATAAATAGACAAGGCAGAAAAATAAGTGCTAAGTAGGACAAGCCTTCTCTGGGATCCGATAAGCAGATTTACAACTAAATCTGTGTGCGTGTGCGTGCATGTGTGTGTGTGTGTGTGGTGTTGAGGGTGTCCTGAATTGTCTATTGTAAAGTCAAAATCACTGCCACCACCTATTAATGTCTCTTCTGCAACACAGAGAAACTACATTTCCCAGAATCCCCTTTCTAGTAAAATTCTAGACCATTGTTGGCCAACAAGAAGCACCGAATGGTAAAGTCATTATTCTCTGGAGTAATTTGTAGCCAGACATATCATCAGGTGTGAGGTTTACAGCAGTTCCATGGTAGCTTTTGAGAACCACTCTCCTTGGTACTATAGTCTGAGATAAATCCTCCAGTGGCTTCCCCTGTCTTTGCTGCCTCATTTTTTTCAACAGTTGGGTAAGTCTCAAATTCTTAGTACTTAGAATACATAAAGTACCTTCTATTTTCCTGATGTAGGGCATGTTTAAACAGTTTTAGAAATATGGAAAATTATGCAAAAGAGTAGTTACAATCATAAATTATTCTTCTTACCCTATTATTCTTTTTCGATTTACAGCAACAGTAAACTTTGTGAAAGACTTTTTTAGAGTAGTTTTAGGTTTATAACAAAACTGAGAGGAAGATACGGAGATTTTCTATATATTCCCACTCCCGCACATGCATAGCCTCCGCCCTTATCAATATCACTCACCAGAACAGTACATTTTTTTTTTACCAAGAATGAACCTACATTGACATGTCATAATCATCCAAAGTACATAGTTTATGCTAGGGTTCACTCTAGATGTTGCACATTGTATGGGTTTGGACAAATATATAATGACATATATCTATCATTATAATATCAGAATATTTTCACTGCCTAGAAATAGATAGTTGACCTTTACTTGTTTGTTGATTACTGGTCCAATTGGTTGTGGTCAGTACAGTTGAGATTTTTTGATTAAATACTCCTGGTACATGCTAGTACTACTTTTTGTGTAAAGAACCATTTGGAGCCTCAAATGACAATGGGGACAATCCAGGCACTTAGAGAGCTTGGTGAAATTATCTTCCGTAGAAGTGTGAGGGGATGCATTTACTTCCTCCTGTGATATGAATAAACCAGCTTCTGACAAGAAATGAATTTGAAGAAGGATATAAAAATGTAGTCCCTAATATGCAAAGCACATAAGAAACTGAAGGAAAAAAATGAGAGAAAGAAAGCTTAATTTCCTTTATGATTCAAATGGAGGTAAAAATTGGAAGGTGGTTTTAAGTAGAAATTTTAAGTCTAAGAGAATTTTCAGATAAATTGTTTTAAATCTGTATAGATTACCTTAATAAAATGTAACATGACTTCACTGTCACAGATTATTAATATTCATTTTATTATGGCTTATGCATTTTGATAAAGATTTACATTGGATATATAATCTTCTAGGGATTTCATGAAAACAAAAATTATTACAAAATAAACAGAAATAAAAAGGAGAGTCATTCACTTATTAAATGAATATTTATTGAGTACCTTTTACAAGCTTGGCACTGTCTTAGGTGATGTTGATATGATAGTGAACAAAGAATATTTCCATTGTGGAGATTATATTTCAAGAAGAAAGACAGAAAATAAACAAATGAATAAATAAAGTTACAAAAATAGATTACACTTACATATATATATGAATTATATCATATATAATTGAACATGTATGATAAATTCAATGATATATAAGTGATTGAATCAATGGATATAAAAAAATCATTAAGTCCTGTCACCCAAAAAGAATACCAAAACAACCTATTGATAAAGTTGACTTTATTGCTTACCATGGGTAATACTATAAATACCTTGGCACAATTCTGGTAGCTTCTCAGAGGAAAGAGAATAAAGAAGAGATATTTTTATTTATTTATATATTTTTTGAGGTTTACTTAAAGTTAGTCTTTCAGTGTGAGAGCTTGCTAAGGACTGGATATGGTTTTTGATATAATGTTTTAGAATTGCTGGACAGAAAAAGGAAAGGGTTTGAGCAAGAATTTTAAGTGGGATTTGGGAGAAAATGGTCGGTTGATACTATTTAAGAGATGAGTATTTGATTTTCCTACAAATTATATTTTCAGGAAGTTGATGAAACAAACTGTAAAGTTATTTTCAACTTTTGTCTTCCTGAGCAAGAGTCTCCTGGAATAGTAAGGTCAGGTTGACGATGACATTGAAATAGTGAAGTCATATAATGTAAACAATAAGTTGTGTGGGTATAGATGGTATGTTGCTCATTTAAATAATGCCATCAAGAAAAATAAAGTTGAAAAAAGGGATAGATAATGTGCTGTTTTATATAAAGTTTCAGGAAAGGCTTCTCTGTGGGGTGATATTTGGGCAGAGACTTTCATGAAATGAAGTCATGAGCCACATCAATATTAATCAGAATGTGTGACTTAGGGCAGAATGGTCAAACGTGAATTTTTACCAATCAACAGTAAAAGAAGGAGGTTGGGTCACAGTGTAAATCAAAGACGACACTAGGCAAGATATCTCAATTAAGGAAGCAATGCTTCAAGTTTCATTCCAGCTGAAACTCCTTATTTCATTGAGATTGGCACTGAGCAGCCTTGATCTAGTAAATAAGTGTTTTAGGCACAACGGTTAGCAAATAATCCAAGGTGAGGATATGTTTATATGTTTAAGAAACAACAAGAGAACCATTATGGTCACAACAGAACAAGAGAGGGAAAAGTAGAAGGCAGCTGTCCCTTTCAAGGATTACTAGTGGCTACTGAGGGTAGACAAAAGTGGAAGCAGGGAGACTAATTAAGGACACTGCAAAAGATAGCATTGAATGGCAATGGTGGTGAATTTTCTATGGGTGCTATTATTTATTGAGATGAAGAGCACTGGTTGTAAAAAGAAGTGAAATCAAATGTCTTTGCCTGAGCAGTTGGACGAATGGTGTTGCAATTTAATGAGATAGGGTCCATTAGTGTAGAAGGTATAATTGAAGAAACAGGGAATCAATAGTATACTTTTGGACGTGTTAAGTTGGACATTTCTAGAAAAAATCCAAGTGGAGAGGATTAATCAAACAAGTAGTCTGAAATTCAGGTAGAGGGGAGGAGATGGAGATTAAAATTTATGTCATCATTATATGGATAGTATTTACAGTGAAAGGAGTAGGTAAATCTGCTTACCTAGAGAGTGGACGTGGTTATAAAAAAGAGCATGATCCAATCCTAAGACTTTCCACTGCTTAAAGTTCAGAAAACAGGAAAATTCAGCAAAGAAGATTAGAAAGGTGCTGCCAGTGAAATAAAAAGGAAACTTGAGAGAGTGTGTTATATCGAGGCCAAGTGAATGAAAGTGAAGCTTATAAAAAGGAGTGAGGAGCTAGATCAGAGATGAAATAAGATACAAATTGGTCACTGTAAGAAATAATACATATGTTGGGTTTTAAAGCAATAAAGTTTCTTCCTATTATTCTCTTTTCAAGGTTATAGCTTCATAAAAAACAATTATCATATAATGACTTTGCTACTATAAAACTAATTTCCTATTTCAGCATTGATGTGAATATCACATCAATTGATTGAAAGAGATGGAGGAAATACAGGCATAACTTCTTGTAATGGGTTGAGTCTGGGGAGTCTACCTTTAATAAGAAATAATAAAGACTGAAATGAAAGTTCACAGAAGACTTCAAGTATCCATAACTCTTGCACATAGGGATTAGAATTGCTGTTACATATGGGTGATATAAACCATTATAAATGTATATTTTGGGGTATCTTGAGCAATTTGTGCTGGAGAATGTCAGTGAAAGACCCTTTAAATTTGATACCTATAGATTTTGGATTTTCCTTCTTAGGAAAGTGCATTTGTACATGAACAACCAATTTAACAATTTGTCTATAATTAAACCTCTAAATACAATAAATTTTGCTTTATAGAAACAAAATATGATTTGTGAATTAACACAGTTTAGTGCAGAGGGTTATGAAAGTTCTCAAGGACTTCATTACTGCCTGCTCAGTACTAAATTGCTACTCTGCTCTCTGAAGAAATTGTCTTCAATATCATCTATCAGGTGGATGTTGAAAGACCTTTCAAACCACGTTGACAAGAATGGGGCTACATTCTGCATAAGATGAGAACACAGGCAATTTTCCACCTGTCCTGCTGGGAAAGAAGGGTATAAACTGATTGGTTTACTTCTTCTTTGTTAAAAAAGAAATTGAGTCAACAGTGGAATTCATTCATTATTTTAATAAATATTTACTGCCGTGTTTCAGATTTCTCGCAATGTTTGTGCTCAGATTTGGGCTTGTAAGAGTGTGTGAAATAGGAAGTCTTCCTGCTAACTGGCATTCCATTAAGCATAGATAAGACCTAGAGACAAGATTAGAACACTTGAGAAATTAAATTATTATTACATCTGCTTCTCTTGACTGAGCCCATCCTAATGGCCAGCCACTGGTAGATGTCTTATATATATTACCTCATTGAATCATCAGAAGAATCCTGCAAGATAATTATCCTCATTTATAAATGAGAAACTAAGGTTCTGTGAGTTTAATGAGGTCATTTAACTAAGACATTAAAGTGTTTCAATAAGGTGGAAGTAATGATTTTGTCCAAGCTGCTGAGAGTCAAGTAGGATTAAAGCATATAAATGATTGAATTTGAAAAGTATTTGGTAAACTTGAAAACATAGTTTTTACAGAGTCAAGTCATTGGTGAACTTGACAAGAATGGTGCTTTTAGAGTCAAGATAGTAGCCATTCATGGACTTAAATAGAACAATGTCACAAGAGAATGAAAACCTGATGAGAGAAGACTAAAGACAGAATGGGGCATGGAGAATTAGAAACAGTACATACAAACAACTTTTGTGGAGGCTGCCTATGAAATGGAACAGAAAATTGGTCAGTTATTACAGTTTATTGTCTAAACTATAACTTCAAGGGAATGTTTATAAAATTCAATTTTATAAAATTGAGGAATTATTTTGTGTTTACATTAAATTTAATATGTGCAGTAGAGAATAAAAACAATGATGCAAAAGTAAAGGAGATAAGTGCAAGAACGAGAATTTTGCGTAACGAAATGCAATGAGATATAGTGAAACATTTAAAAATTTGGACTTAAGCAGAAAGAGGAGCCGTTCCAAGTTTGAAAAAGGAGGAAAGGCCAAATAAATGAGAATATAGCATACCAAAATGAAGATATTTTTATGAATATTTAGTTTCTTTTTATTTTCTTAGAGAAGTCATTGACTAAGAGCAAGATAATGGGGAATGTTAAAATGATACTCCTTTACCAGAATAAGAAAGTTAACCTATGGGGGCAACATAGTATTATCCATTCAGAGCTTGAAATATGTGCCTTTAAAACTGAAGCGAGAATGGTCAGCATAGTC